TCACAATATCTACTGTATGTTTTGGATCTTATTTACTCTTTCAGTTTCTTATACTAGGAAGGAATATAATGTTTACACATGTGAGACTGACTTATTTTGCTTCTGAGTATGAACTCAAGTCGCATCCATTTACGACTGCTCAAATGTCCAAGTATAAACTTAGAGGTATGTGAATATAGCTCAGTGACACAGTGCCTGCCTGGCAATTATAAGGTCCTGAGTTTGATTCCTGGTACCCACACACCAAGAAAGAAAACAACAACAAAAAAAAAATAAAATAAAATTTTATTAAAATTCAGTATTTTATAAAATAAAATACTGAAAATTTGATGTTCCTATCTATGAACCCTATAAAAATAAAAAATAAAGTTAAATATTTCCTACTTAGAATACCACAAGATAAACATTGACATTCTTAAAGGGAGGATTGTGGGCATAGAAGAGATTTAGAGTGAAGCAAGACAAAAACTTAGCAGAGCAAACATTAAACTTTGTTATTCCATGTCCAGAACACAGGGCATGTGGTAGTGAAAAGTGAGCTCCAAAGCGCTTGGGTAGTCCCACCCCTGTGGCCTTGCTGGGTGCAGCTCACATGGCCTGTCTCTGGAGATAGCTCTGATGACTGACTGCAACTTTCCTTGACCTGGCATCTCCAACTTCCTGGGGTCTCCACTAAAGTTTTGGCTTCACTTACAGCTCTAGGCAGTACCTCATAGGGACTCCTGACAGGAACTATGTCCCTGAAACATATTTATGCCTGGCCTCTCAGGAATTCTTCTGAAATCTGAGTGGAAGCCTCTCAGCTACAACTTTGGCATTCTGTATACCTGCAAAACCAGTACATGTGTGTCACACCAAGATCTGCTACCACTGGGAACAGTGGATGAGCCCCAGTGGACCATGGCTGCAGCAGCCTCTTAGTGTCTAAACATCTGAACACTGGGAAACAGTTCCTATGCAGTGTTAAGTGAGCAGACTGCACTGGGCATCGCTTCTCAAGCCAATACCTTTCAAAAGGGTGTATTCTTTTACACTCAAGATTGTGATAAGTAGGGTTTTGCTGGTTTGTGAGATATCCTCCAACAGTCATTTCTAATACTCAGGTGCAAAGTATGTGGCCTCTTTTTAGTTGCACTAATCATATTCTCCTTGACTCCAACTTTGCAAGTGTTTGTTTTCAGGCCAAGTCTCAAATTGTTGACATCTTTCAGCTCTTCTTTTGCTCCAGACTCTTATTGTAAATACTAAGGAGAGCAACCAACACATGAAACACCCTGAACAATAGGTTGCCTTGAAAATTCCTCCACCAGCTTAGTCTCCACTTTTATTTTGTTTTATTTTATTGATTTGTTCATTTTTTTAGTCTTCATTTTTAAATTGAACCTCACAACAAAGTCTTAGAACATGGGCAAATTTTTTTTTGCCAAAATGTAACTTGAAAATCACCAGTCCAATTTTAGTAGAGTACCCATTTCTGTCTGGAACTCCATGATCCTGTCCTTTACAGCATCATAGTCCTTAGGGTTCCATTCAAATCATACACCCAGCTCTGCTTACATCACTGTGGTTACTTCAAGCATGTGAAATCCACCCATGAAATACTCCCAAAGGCTTCTGGACCACATGGTCAGGTACAGTCACAGGAATGACCCATTCTTCTAATCATAATTTTCTATATTAATCATTTTCCTTCTACTGGGACAAAAAATACTTAACATCTGCAACTAAAGGAGAAGAGTTTTATTTGGCTCATGGCTGACTCTAAAAGAGAAATGTCATGTCAGAAAGGCCTGGTGTGGCAAGCAAGAAGCAGAGGGAAAAGAGGTATAAGAATATACCTTTCAGGGGCTGGGGAGATGGCTTAGTGGAATAAGTGCTTCCCTGGCAAGCACAAGGGCCTGAGTTCAATCCCCAGTTCTGCCAAAAAAAAAAGAATTCACCTTTCCAGGTCATAGCAGAATTTTGCACCTTTTCCAACCAGGATCTACCTCCTGACAACATGTTCAACTGTAAACCCAGCAAGACAAATCCACAGAATATAGAGCACCCATAATCTCATCTTCCAAAATGCCTACTTCTGAATATATGAGTTTTTTGAGGGGATACTTTAGAGCTAAATCATAACAGGGGCCTTGAAACACCAGCTTACTAAGTCACACTCTAGTTCTTTTCTAGAGTGACCAGAAAGATGGAATCTGTTTGATAGGAGTCTAGTGAATGCAAAAAACCAACAGAAAATGACTAAATCATACAGAACTAAAAAACCCCCTAGAAATCCTAAATTATTTCTGTGCATGGAAAAAGCTTCAAGTAACTATTACCATTTTATCACTAAAAGCAGAGTGAATCATGCCTCAGGAGGTGCTAATAGTTCTTAATGAGTCCTGAGTTTAATACAGATCCCTGGCAATAATTCCCCTTTCTATCCTGACTGCTTTTTCTCCCTTCTTTTGCTTTCCTTCTTGCCTTCTCTTCTCTCTCCTCACCCCACCATGCAGCTCTACCATTTCAACATTCCAAGTCAAGACTGGATGCCTCATTTGTGTTTTTCATCATTTTCATTTGATCTTCAAAATCACTATATGAATTGTTGTCCAAGGGCATCAAACTTGTGTTTATGCTAGCTAGTTGCTTACATTAAAAGCAAAGTGTAGATAAACCCCACTCAAGTTACAAGGTTGTCAGGAGGACCACAGTCAGCTAAGGTGAACTCAATGCAAACACCACACAAATGTAGCATTTGTAGTGTCGTGATCATTTCTATTCAGTAAATACTAATTACATGAATATTAATTAGTCCATTACCAAATTTAATTAGATACATGTATAGAAACCTATACTGGTAAATAAGCAAATTTATCTGCATTATAGTAGAGCTAATTTTTTATTTTTATTAAATATGCAGAAGTATTTTATAACTTTCGGTTGAAAGTTACCAAATAAAATAAAAATATTCTAAGAACTAGTATTGTTATGCAAATATACATAAATATGAAAAATATTTTTGTACATGTATTTATGAACTTCTTGAATGGGGTACATAACACATTAATAGGGTTGAAGTTGACAGAATATAATAGATCTTCATTAATTTAATCTGTAAACATCCAGGCTATTCATAGGGCAGTTGTCAATTTTCATAGGTCATTTCTTCAGTCTCTTGAGAATTATATTTTGCTTCTTCTACAAATGTTGTAATAAATTCCCGAAGATTTCTTAAAATAAACAAGACACCAGCAAAATAGATTAAGAAAAATTCATTAAAGAAGGAAGAACACTTCAAAATAAATATCCATTTTTAAGGCAATTACCCCAAAACTGATTAGATGAGGCAATCATCTACTTTTAATTAATGAATATGTTCGTAGAGTTTGGGCCTTGAATGCAGCAAAGATTTTCTGGTATTTGGGTACACACCTGTCACATTTTCTATTCTATGTCCTGTGGCAACAGAGTTAGATCATTTCCATTACCAAGGATATAGAAAGGGCCTCCGGGCTGTGTATATGCAACGGTGCTATCTTCCTAGGTGTCATGATATAAAGAAACCCAGAATCTGGGCTCCCTGGGTGGCTCACTTAGCACCAATTCTGGCGCTTTTCTCTCTTGTCTTTCTCTGGCATGTACATGGAATGCAAAATGCTGTCTTCTGGCCTCCTTTACAGTTAAGAGTGGCTGTGGGATGTGTGCCTCCCAGTGAGGTATAGGCGGGAGTTCCTGAGAAAGGCTGCCATTCCATAAAAAAGCAAAATAGCCTCTCAGGCCTGCTAAAATCTCTCTCTGTCTCTGTCTCTGTCTCTGTCTCTGTCTCTGTCTCTGTCTCAGTCTCTGTCTCTGTCTCTGTCTCTGTCTCTGTCTCTGTCTGTCTCTCTCTCTGCTGTTTTCTTCATCCGTGGAACATGGACCTTATGCTTGAGGAACATACTAAAACCACAGCAGGAATCACCATGGGAGATTAGTGATATCTCTCAGGCCAAACCACTGTCAGCTCTTGCCTACTGACACATACAAGCCTTTCTATCTTTAAACCATCATGGTGTTCTGTTGGAGGCCATTAACCGGTATCCATTCTATTCCTCTGCTGAGTCAAGTTTATGG